TTCTCTCCGGTTTGGGTTGGATTTGTTTCTTGAGAAAAAGTGAATGGTTGCTTCACTTGGTACATCCCTCTTGGATAGACTTGTTGTGGCTTGGATTGGTATTGGCCTCCTTGATACGCTCCTTGATTGGGGTAGACTTGGTCATTTGGATTCTCCACATTGTTGCTCCGGTATGATAGGTTTGGATGCGCGCGAAATGGTGGATTGAATCCTCTATTCCCATAGTTTCCTCCAATGTAGTTGACTTCCTCTAGATTCTCTTCAGCGCCATCTCTCATGAAATCCATAAGAGTGTCTTCATTTGTGGCTAGGGCATCTTCAATGGCGTGAACTCCTTGTCGGCTTTTAAGTAGTTGTGAAACCATGTTCCTTAGCTCCGAGATTTGAGCTGATTCTGATGAGCTCGTGGTCTTCACGCTTCTATTGTAGTCAGGGCATGCATTGGCATCACTAGCAGCGAGATTCTCAATCAAAAGCTTAGCCTCCGGCACCGACTTGGTCATGAAGTTACCATTGCTCGCGGTATCGAGAGAAAGCTTGTATTTATGATCAATCCCATTGTAAAAGATGTTCCAAAGGTTACCTTCTGAAAAGCCATGGTTAGGGCAGCTTCTTGTGTACTCCTTGAATCTCTCCAAAGCTTCATAGAATGACTCCATTGAATCTTGCTTGAAACCAGAAATCTTGCTCCTTATAGAGTTGGATCTTTGCTTAGTGTAGAATTGGTTCAAGAAAGCTCCCTTGTATTCATTCCATGTTGTAATGGACTGAGGTGGTAAAGATTTTACCCATCTTAGCGCCTTGTCACTTAGAGAAAAAGTGAATAGCTTGCACTTGAAGTAATCCGGCGATACTCCATTAACACGAGTTGTGCTACATATCTCCTCAAAGGTGTCGACGTGATCAAGAGGATGCTCAGTGGGCAAACCATGGAATTGGTTTTGCTTCACCAAGGCAATGATCTGCGGTTTGATCTCAAAATCGTTCCTTGGAGGTAGAGGCGGTCGGATTGGATTCCGATCCATAAAGAAAGCATCGGACGAATCAAAGTCTCCCATAGTTTGGTGCCTTGGATGCTGCGCGTTTGGCACTCTCCTTGGAGGTGCGTGAGGTTGGTCTTGAGGCATCCCTTGGTTGTCACCGTGACGATGATGTCCATTTGCAAACGCCGGTGGTGGTCGCGGCGGGTTAAGAGGTGGCTGTAGCGGCTCAGCTGCATCGGGCGCGTTCGGATTGGGCGGAGGAACGTCTCTGGCCGGTGCTGGCTGGTCAGCTCTAGCTTCTGCTGGATTAGGAGGATCATTGGCTCTCCTCTCTTGGTCGGGCGGGTTGTGTGGCCTATTTGGCGCGCCTTCTCCGCCTGGATTCATTCTTTCTCTCCTTAGCGCCTAAGTGTGCGCTCAAGTTGGTCAATGTCAAGATCTTCTTCAATGGTTGTATTTGGATTGGACCTTCTTGTCATGCACCTTAGAAACACACAAAGAGAGAGAGTTAAGTAAAATTTTTATGAGTTTTTAAGATTTTATGAAAAACAAAAACAAAGAAAAGTGAAAGATGAGATGAGCTAGTCTTGAAATCAATCAAGAGGTGTGAAGGAAAAGCAACTCCTCCCCGGCAACGGCGCCAGAAAGCTTGATGGCGGGTTTAGATTGCCTCAAATTTTCACAATTTATAAACCCAACTAATGAGCTGCAAGTGCACAGCCGTGTTGTAGTCGGGGTCGAACACGAGGAGGAAGTGTTCTCACTTAACACCTTGTGAGATTGGTTTGTAGCTAGCTCGCAATATGAGATGGTTTTGGGACCTAGAATGAGAAAACAACAAAAGAAATGTGAGTGAGTTGTAAACAATTTAAAACAAGAGTTAGGCAAAGGACAATCATATGGAGCAATGATGAAAAGATAGTTGCATGGGATGTGTGTAGAGCCGTCTTGAACATGAATCACTAGTGTATGGTCTTTCCACTGTCGTGGCTCCAACCACTATGTTTAAAACAACCTAATATACTCAGCTTTCGTTGGCTATTAGAATTGCAAACATGCATTAAAGTGATCAAGATTCAATTGTTCACAATAAACCATAACTCAGCTTTCGTTGGCTATGATCTATTGCTCACCAAATACTAGTTTTGAGATCTAGATTCAGCACTGTCGTGGTTCTATTTCTCTAAGATCAGATTACTAGATGTACGGTAGAGTAATCATGCATTAAGCTCAAGTAAAGGTGAAGATCCATAAGATAAATCCCAATTAAGTTGCAACACAATCAAATCATCACGGAATGTCCTGGATTGAATTTCTTCAAATCCGTTCGGGCCAATTGAGATTTTCTTCGACGAATTGTTTTATAACCCTCCTGTGTCATTCCCAAGTGGTGGTCCGCCTTTTTTCGTGTGATGGCCTATGTATCTCCTTTTAACCTCCCTTTGGCCGCCATATGCATGTTGGTTTTGAGGTGGTTGATAGGTTTGCTTATTTCTCCTTCCTGTAAATGTTAACTCCTTGCAAAACACTTGAAATCATGATTAGATGGTTTCTCAGATTGTGATCCTCAAGTGACCAACTTGAAGTTCACAATCCAAGAGATTAAAGCACAAACTATAAATTCTTATTTCGTCTTGGTCAATGATCCAAATTTCAAACTATAGTTCAATCTCTTGTAATTTCAGTGAGCAAAATGAGTTTTGACAAGTGATTATGTATTCTTTCCAATCATCAAATGTAAATCAAGTTAAACCATGAAATATATTTGGTAATGTGCAATGGTTTAAACGATTTTGTCAAGTGAAGATCAAGAGTGATTAGAAATGAATACTAGGTGAGAGTTTACTTACCTTTTGTAGGAGAAACGCCTTGTACAAGGGTGGGCTCATTGGGTGGGACACTTCCATTGTTTGGTCTCCTTTGGTCTTCATCCTAAGAAAATATTTTTGTATTTTTGTTTGATTTTTGAAAAACTCCTGCAAAATAGAAATAGATAGTTAAAAACCATATGGGTTGCCTCCCATAAAGCGCTTTTGTTTTAAGTCATTTAGCTTGACTCCTTCTCTTTCTTTCAATCGTGGTGAAGAGTGGCTGAAGGGCAAAGGATCCCTTTAGCTTCTCCATTCTCCGGTTCAGTGGCTTCTTGTAGTGGTTTTGGCACGCCATGATCATCTATCACATCATCCTTGAAAACCAATGCCTTGGGGAAAAGCTTCATAGTTCTCTCAAGCTTTTCTTCAATGGATTGGTCACCTTTAAGCTCCGAATCTTTTGGTGTAAAGATTCTTATCTTGTGAAAGAGATTAGGTGCACCATTAGTCTCCTCTTCAGCTCCATACTCGTCAAAGGTTGGAAGTAAGATGGAGTTGATTCTTAAAGACATTTTCATGCCTCGGCTCCAATGTTTTCTTCTTCTCCTTTGGTTTTGGGTAGGCGCCCACTCTCTCTTCTTTCTCCATGCAGCATATCCTCTTTCTTAGGTAATGAGAGTGGCTTCTTCTGGTGGTAGCTTGGTCGCACTTGGCACTGACCTGAAATTTACACTTGGGAAAAAGATATCTTGCCGGATGTGGCCAAAAGATAGATGATTCCCAAAGTAGTTTAGGACCGCTCCAGCTGTAGCAAGGAATGGGGTTCCAAGAATCAGTTGATTCCTCTTTGAGCCTTCCCAAATATGACGGTTCCATGCATCGATAGGTCCATGCGATAGATCTCGACTCTTATCTTGGGGCTCTTGAATTCCTTGAATCCCAAGTCTTTTGCAAGTGCAAGAGACATTAGATTAACATTAGCACCAGTATCACATAGGCAATCGTGGAGTTGAATGCCATTGATACTTGAAGTTATCACAAACTTCCCCGGATCTTCTTGTTTTTGTAGTGGCTTGCCTTCAAGTCTTCTCTTGTAAGCTCTTCTTGATTCCCAACTGTATCTCTCCGGTTTGTGCCTCTCCTTAGGCTCATTTTCTTCTTCTTCCCCTTGAGATAGTGTAGGAACAATTGTGCCATCTATAGATGAGACAACACTACAAAATTTTTGAGTGTTTACCTCATTTTGTTTCTTGGCCGCCTCGGCTGTTTGAGCGATTTGCACCTCAAGCTTTTGAACGTGAGTAGAGAGAGACCCAAACTTGCTGCTTAGATCACCAAACATGTGATCAAGCTTCTCATATAGGTTCTTGGTGATCAATCTCTGCTCCTCCATGTATTTCTTCAAGGCCACGTCAACTTTCTCTCCGGTTTGGGTTGGATTTGTTTCTTGAGAAAAAGTGAATGGTTGCTTCACTTGGTACATCCCTCTTGGATAGACTTGTTGTGGCTTGGATTGGTATTGGCCTCCTTGATACGCTCCTTGATTGGGGTAGACTTGGTCATTTGGATTCTCCACATTGTTGCTCCGGTATGATAGGTTTGGATGCGCGCGAAATGGTTGATTGAATCCTCTATTCCCATAGTTTCCTCCAATGTAGTTGACTTCCTCTAGATTCTCTTCAGTGCCATCTCTCATGAAATCCATAAGAGTGTCTTCATTTGTGGCTAGGGCATCTTCAATGGCGTGAACTCCTTGTCGGCTTTTAAGTAGTTGTGAGACCATGTTCCTTAGCTCCGAGATTTGAGCTGATTCTGATGAGCTCGTGGTCTTCACGCTTCTATTGTAGTCAGGGCATGCATTGGCATCACTAGCAGCGAGATTCTCAATCAAAAGCTTTGCCTCCGGCACCGACTTGGTCATGAAATTACCATTGCTCGCGGTATCGAGAGAAAGCTTGTATTTATGATCAATCCCATTGTAAAAGATGTTCCAAAGGTTACCTTCTGAAAAGCCATGGTTAGGGCAGCTTCTTGTGTACTCCTTGAATCTCTCCAAAGCTTCATAGAATGACTCCATTGAATCTTGCTTGAAACCAGAAATCTTGCTCCTTATAGAGTTGGATCTTTGCTTAGTGTAGAATTGGTTCAAGAAAGCTCCCTTGTATTCATTCCATGTTGTAATGGACTGAGGTGGTAAAGATTTTACCCATCTTAGCGCCTTGTCACTTAGAGAAAAAGTGAATAGCTTGCACTTGAAGTAATCCGGCGATACTCCATTAACACGAGTTGTGCTACATATCTCCTCAAAGGTGTCGACGTGATCAAGAGGATGCTCAGTGGGCAAACCATGGAATTGGTTTTGCTTCACCAAGGCAATGATCTGCGGTTTGATCTCAAAATCGTTCCTTGGAGGTAGAGGCGGTCGGATTGGATTCCGATCCATAAAGAAAGCATCGGACGAATCAAAGTCTCCCATAGTTTGGTGCCTTGGATGCTGCGCGTTTGGCACTCTCCTTGGAGGTGCGTGAGGTTGGTCTTGAGGCATCCCTTGGTTGTCACCGTGACGATGATGTCCATTTGCAAACGCCGGTGGTGGTCGCGGCGGGTTAAGAGGTGGCTGTAGCGGCTCAGCTGCATCGGGCGCGTTCGGATTGGGCGGAGGAACGTCTCTGGCCGGTGCTGGCTGGTCAGCTCTAGCTTCTGCTGGATTAGGAGGATCATTGGCTCTCCTCTCTTGGTCGGGCGGGTTGTGTGGCCTATTTGGCGCGCCTTCTCCGCCTGGATTCATTCTTTCTCTTCTTAGCCGCCTAAGTGTGCGCTCAAGTTGGTCAATGTCAAGATCTTCTTCAATGGTTGTATTTGGATTGGACCTTCTTGTCATGCACCTTAGAAACACACAAAGAGAGAGAGTTAAGTAAAATTTTTATGAGTTTTTAAGATTTTATGAAAAACAAAAACAAAGAAAAGTGAAAGATGAGATGAGCTAGTCTTGAAATCAATCAAGAGGTGTGAAGGAAAAGCAACTCCTCCCCGGCAACGGCGCCAGAAAGCTTGATGGCGGGTTTAGATTGCCTCAAATTTTCACAATTTATAAACCCAACTAATGAGCTGCAAGTGCACAGCCGTGTTGTAGTCGGGGTCGAACACGAGGAGGAAGTGTTCTCACTTAACACCTTGTGAGATTGGTTTGTAGCTAGCTCGCAATATGAGATGGTTTTGGGACCTAGAATGAGAAAGTGAAACAAAAGAAATGTAAGTATGGTTGTAAGCAATTTAAAACAAGAGTTAGGCAAAGGACAATCATATGGAGCAATGATGAAAAGATAGTTGCATGGGATGTGTGTAGAGCCGTCTTGAACATGAATCACTAGTGTATGGTCTTTCCACTGTCGTGGCTCCAACCACTATGTTTAAAACAACCTAATATACTCAGCTTTCGTTGGCTATTAGAATTGCAAACATGCATTAAAGGTGATCAAGATTCAATTGTTCACAATAAACCATAACTCAGCTTTCGTTGGCTATGATCTATTGCTCACCAAATACTAGTTTTGAGATCTAGATTCAGCACTGTCGTGGTTCTATTTCTCTAAGATCAGATTACTAGATGTACGGTAGAGTAATCATGCATTAAGCTCAAGTAAAGGTGAAGATCCATAAGATAAATCCCAATAAGTTGCAACACAATCAAATCATCACGGAATGTCCTGGATTGAATTTCTTCAAATCCACTCGGGCCAATTGAGATTTTCTTCGACGAATTGTTTTAATAACCCTCCTGTGTCATTCCCAAGTGGTGGCCGCCTTGTTTCGTGTGATGGCCTTGTATCTCCTTTTAACCTCCCTTTGGCCGCCATATGCATGTTGGTTTTAGGTGGTTGATAGGTTTGCTTATTTCTCCTTCCTGTCAAATGGTTAACTCCTTGCAAAACACTTGAAATCATGATTAGATGGTTTCTCAGATTGTGATCCTCAAGTGACCAACTTGAAGTTCACAATCCAAGAGATTAAAGCACAAACTATAAATTCTTATTTGGTCTTGGTCAATGATCCAAATTTCAAACTATAGTTCAATCTCTTGTAATTTCAGTGAGCAAAATGAGTTTTGACAAGTGATTATGTATTCTTTCCAATCATCAAATGTAAATCAAGTTAAACCATGAAATATATTTGGTAAAGTGCAATGGTTTAAACGATTTTTCAAGTGAAGATCAAGAGTGATTAGAAATGAATACTAGGTGAGAGTTTACTTACCTTTTGGAAGAGAAACGCCTTGTACAAGGGTGGGCTCATTGGGTGGGACACTTCCATTGTTTGGTCTCCTTTGGGTCTTCATCCTAAGAAAATATTTTTGTATTTTTGTTTGATTTTTGAAAAACTCCTGCAAAATAGAAATAGATAGTTAAAAACCATATGGGTTGCCTCCCATAAAGCGCTTTTGTTTTAAGTCATTTAGCTTGACTCCTTCTCTTTCTTTCAATCGTGGTGAAGAGTGGCTGAAGGGCAAAGGATCCCTTTAGCTTCTCCATTCTCCGGTTCAGTGGCTTCTTGTGGTGGTGTTGTCGCGCCATGATCATCTCTCACATCATCTTTGAAAACCAATGCCTTGGGGAAAAGCTTCATAGTTCTCTCAAGCTTCTCTTCAATGGATTGGTCACCTTTAAGCTCCGAATCTTTTGGTGTAAAGATTCTTATCTTGTGAAAGAGATTAGGTGCACCATTAGTCTCCTCTTCAGCTCCATACTCGTCAAAGGTTGGAAGTAGATGGAGTTGATTTCCTTAAAGACATTTTCATGCCTCGGCTCCAATGTTTTCTTCTTCTCCTTTGGTTTTGGGTAGCGCTCACTCTCTCTTCTTTCTCCATGCAGCATATCCTTCTTTCTTAGGTAATGAGAGTGGCTTCTTCTGGTGGTAGCTTGGTCGCACTTGGCACTGACCTGAAATTTACACTTGGGAAAAAGATATCTTGCCGGATGTGGCCAAAAGATAGATGATTCCCAAAGTAGTTTAGGACCGCTCCAGCTGTAGCAAGGAATGGGGTTCCAAGAATCAGTTGATTCCTCTTTGAGCCTTCCCAAATCATGACTTGAAAGTCAGTTGGGACCGATCGACATCGATAAGGTTCCATGCACGATACTCGACTCTTATCTTGGGGCTCTTGAATTCCTTGAATCCCAAATCTTTTGCAAGTGCAAGAGACATTAGATTAACATTAGCACCAGTATCACATAGGCAATCGTGGAGTTGAATGCCATTGATACTTGAAGTTATCACAAACTTCCCCGGATCTTCTTGTTTTTGTAGTGGCTTGCCTTCAAGTCTTCTCTTGTAAGCTCTTCTTGATTCCCAACTGTATCTCTCCGGTTTGTGCCTCTCCTTAGGCTCATTTTCTTCTTCTTCCCCTTGAGATAGTGTAGGAACAATTGTGCCATCTATAGATGAGACAACACTACAAAATTTTTGAGTGTTTACCTCATTTTGTTTCTTGGCCGCCTCGGCTGTTTGAGCGATTTGCACCTCAAGCTTTTGAACGTGAGTAGAGAGAGACCCAAACTTGCTGCTTAGATCACCAAACATG